CTTGATATCAGGTACGTTTTGTAAAACGACTTTACCCGACCTAAGTTAAAAAATGTCTGGCTTAGTGCCATTTGGTAAGAAATGAAAGTTACATAACCTATGTACCAAATCGATGTCGTTAGGAATAGGGCGAGTGTACAACTCGGTGAAGCGAACGGGGATTCTGGTGGCAGTATATCACAGTGAATGTGTGACTGTCCACTACACGCTTCGTATTGTTCAACCTGAAGTTCTACATACCTCTCACTTTCCCTGGAGATGGCGATGTATGGAGCCACATCCCGGACTATAGTTGCTTGAAGGGATGCCACGTGAGTCGGAAGTGAGAACGTCGATGTCCTGTAAACGCGCAGTACAGTACTGTCAGAAACTAAAGGCACTAGTAAGGTCACAAATATCATGTCGTTAGGGCGGGCCAAGTGGACGTCGACGTCAGTGTAATACATGGTGGCGTCGGTGTATCGGAGTTTAAATGCAGGGTAGTTTTGAGCCAATTTTTCTTGAATGGAGGAAATAGTTGTGGATAAGGTGTGTAAAGGTACGACGTTAGGGGACAAGCGACCCCTTAACAGTTGGAGAATACCTGCCAGCAGAGCTTTTAATTCTGGGTGATTTCAATATCCACGTTGATTCACTTTCAGACTCCAGTTCAAAATTGTTCTGTGATCTCTTGAACAGTTTTACTCTCAAACAACATGTTTCCGCTGTCACCCATAAATCAGGTCACATCTTGGACTTGGTTCTCACCAAAGAAGACTGTGGATTAGTGAAGAGTGTGACAGTTGCTGATGAGACTATTTCTGATCACTTTGTTATTAAATGTATTTTTGATCTGAGTAAGCCAATGCCACCACGCAAGGTACTCTCATATCGAAAGACTAGAAACATTAACATCGATGATTTTGCATTTGATATTGACACCTCGGAGGTGTTTGACCGAGTTTCTGATGCAACAGATGTGAATGCCAAAGCCCTCAGCTTTGATGAAACACTTGAGCGGATTCTTGACAGTAATGCACCCCTGAAATCAAGAGTGGTTGTTATACGCCCAAATACAGGATGGTATAATGACAATATCCGTGACTTGAAAAAGAAGCGCCGTGCCGCTGAAAAGATTTGGCGAAAAAAACACCTAGAAATTCATCGTCAAACGTATTGCAATGCTCGCAATATGGTGAACAGTGAATTACGTTCCGCAAAGCAGGCATTCATCTCGAAAAACATTAAGGAGAGTAAAAACAATCCGCGGCAACTACACCTTCTCCTCAGTAACCTCCTCGAGCGAAATTCCGACTGTTGTCTTCCTGAACATAGTGATCTGAAGAACTTAGCAGAGGAGTTTGTGACGTTCTTCTCCAGGAAAATTGAAGACATTCGGAGTGATTTGCAAAGTAGACAGGAACTGGGCACCATGGTCTCTGTTGAGGTTCCTTTCACAGGACAGCCACTCACCACATTTAGAACTCTTACAGGTCCTGATTTGAAGCTGGTCGTTTCTGCAGCAAAAGTGAAAACACCATCTCTTCATGTTCTGCCCACCTGGCTCACAAAATCCACGTTTTCTCATCTACTACCAGCTGTATTGGACATTTTCAACTCTTCTCTTAGTTGTGGTGAAGTACCAAGTGTCTATAAGCAGGCTGTGATCACACCACTGTTGAAGAAACCAACCCTTGATGCAGACAATTTCAGAAACTACAGGCCAGTGTCAAATTTGTCCTTTCTGTCTAAATGTCTCGAGAAGATAGTTGCAAACAGAATTGTGGAACACCTTCAGCAACATGACTTTATGGAGCCCTACCAATCAGCGTACAGGTCAAAGCACAGTACAGAGACTGCGCTAGTCCAAGTACACAATGACATCATGACTGCCATGGACCAGCGTCAGGTGACTCTCCTTGTTCTTTTGGATCTCTCCAGTGCTTTTGATACTGTCGATCACCAAATTCTTCTGCAGCGTCTGAAGGTCAGAGTCGGTATCGATGGAATTGTCCTTGACTGGGTACGTTCTTACCTATCTGATAGGTCACAGTCCGACAAAGTGGAATCTGTACTCTCCACTGCATCACCACTCCACTATGGCGTTCCCCAAGGATCTGTCCTTGGACCTTTACTGTTTAGTCTGTACATTCTTCCCATTGGTGACATTGTAGGAAAGCACTCACTGAAATTTCATCTTTATGCTGATGACAATCAGTTATATCTGTCAGCGGAGCCTAACCTTGCTCAAGGTTGTGCACTGATGATACAACAATGTATTGCTGAAATAAGAGACTGGATGACCTTGAACTTTCTGAAATTGAATGACACAAAGACTGAGTTCTTAACCATCGGATCCAGGCATCAACTTTCCAAAGTGCCTGACAGTTTATCTCTTGAAATTGGACAAGATGTTATCACGCAGTCCGACTCTGCAAAAAATCTTGGTGTCATCTTTCAATCAACAATGTCATTAGAAAATCAAATCAAATCACTCAGCAAAGGATGCTTCTACCATATCTTCAATATTAGCAAGATCCGAACTCTCTTAGACTTCAACACCGCCCAGCTTCTAACGACCAGCCTTGTTCTCTCTAAACTTGATTACTGCAACTCCCTCTATTACAACATTCCTCAACAGCTCCTTTCACAACTCCAACGGATTCAGAATTCAGCCGCCCGTGTTGTTGCCCGTGCACCACGCTACCAAACTGTGACACCTATCCTCCAAACTCTTCACTGGCTTCCTGTATCAAGCAGAATTCAATACAAACTTCTTCTTCTTACACACAGCTGCATCTATGAAAACATGTTTTCTCAATATCTTAAAAGCCTCATTCATCTCCGTGTTCCAAGCCGATTGCTCCGCTCGTCAAACTCCCTACTGCTTACACAGCCTCACGTCAAAACAGCCATGGGATCAAGAGCGTTCTCTGCTGCAGCCCCCTATCTCTGGAACATTCTACCACTCACCCTAAAAGAAATAGAATCTGCTGATGCTTTCAAAACTGCCCTCAAAACTCATCTGTTCAAACTCTCTTTTCCATAGACATTGTCTACAATCTTTTCTCTTCATAGCGCCATTGAGCAATATCCTTTGGAAATAGGCGCTCTATAAATCAATTATTATTAAGAGACTGAGAATGAGAATGAACCATTGACGCTAGCTGGTTTTCTCGGCCCACTATTAGTAAAAATGTGGAGAAAAATCTTTCATACCACTTGATCTCTTAAAGAGTAACTATGCCTGTTTGAACTATTTGTTTCTGGTTACTTTTAATAAGTTTGATGATGTTGTCAAAACGGGCGTTTGTTCTTGTCATGTATGAGGCCATTTGGTGTTGAGAAACATTGAACCCTGTCACGTGCGTGAATGTTTTCAGCAATAATTCGGATGTGGTCAGTCACTATTTTGAGATCGCGTTCTGTGGCAAGTCCAAAGGCTCCCTTGGCTAATTGTCCCAGCCAAGGTAAGAGACTACGTGTTTTACGTGATCTGGATTTGATCTCTGGAGTGTCCGGGATAAGATCCTTGATCAGTTTAATTGTGTTTACTAGGTCAGCATTGGCGCGTTTGTGGATAGAACTAACCAGACTGAGTATAGTGCTTACATGAAAGTGTGTGTTTCTACATGTAGCGTTACGGTGGTTCGTGCAGGCAGGTATATGGTAAGACATGCCTTTCAAGTACGGCTGTGGTAGGTGTAAGGCGAACGTGTGTGTCCATGACTCGTCATATATTGTGAGTTTCCCTCTCTCGGAGAATAGTACCCCGTAGTGTAGACGGTCATGATCCTGTCCGTGGACTGAACTGGTCAAAATGAGTGTCGGTCATCATCCTTTGTAAAGATAAAGGTCATTTGGTAACCAACTGGTAAACTATTCTCCATCCATTCCAGTAATTATTTTATTATGACCTTGTGGTGAAATTCATTAAAACAAAAACAAAAAAAACCCAAAACAACAACATTCAATAAATATATTCTTAATGAACCATGGAACATTCATGTCGCCAATTCGGGTTCCCTAATACGGAGACCGATCCGTTATTCTTGCCTCTGATAGTTATTTGGGTTTAACGTTAAAATATCTAAGCAAACGGTGTTCTATCGCATTTATCTCTGCATAACGGACCGTTCACAATTTATGGCTTTTTTGTTCTGGGGAGCGGATGGGGGAAGGAGGGGGTTGGCGCTCACATTATACATGCTTCTCCATAAAAATCAATCATCACGACCCTGCCATAAATTATAAACGGTCCTTCAAATACAGAGTTCGTTTCAAAACTTTAAATATATAATCTTCATTTGTCATGATACTGTGTCAATTGTTATAATAAGAATGTGTTATATATTCCCAGCCACATAACAGCCATATCACTGTCCTACTGTTTCCGTGAATGGCATTCAGGGGACTTGCTGTACTATTGATATTCAGTTTTCTGTTGGTATTTTTAGAGAATGTGTCCACTGTTTTGGAATAAATTGTATTAGTTTAAAATAGAGATTATGTGGTCCGGGTAAGTTAAAATCAGTCCATAAATGATCGAATTGCTGTAAGTGCAAAATAGTGTCTGTGACATCCAGAGACCATATAATAAATATCATTTATTATCTAATGGAGGGTGTTATCGGTGCAATAAAGCAATCTGATAAACTTGGTATCCAAATGGGATAACTATGCAAATTTCGTCAATCCAAAGGATCGCATAATACAATTTTTATTCCTAATATATGATAATAAATGACACGGAAATACATCCGGTTAATAATCGCTATATATGGTCTCTGGTGTCATCTTAACAAAACGAACGCTGGTACATCTGTCAGGCAACAGTATGGCGATTATAATAATAACACCAGCTAAACTATTTTATTTACTTTGTTTATGTTTGCGTACAAAACATCAAGAACGTGAACAAAATGAAATATAACTAACTGTCCGTGGCATACCTTATATCAGCCCGATTACCTTTTATCACCTCTGGTCCGGCTTTTAGGTAAAACCGGAAATGGATTTAACAGGAAGTAGGGTTTCACGCTTGCGTACGACGTGGAAAGGAAAACGAACTTACCTTGGGAAAGGATGATTTGATTGTTTTGGTAAGGATCTGCATTTGTTGCTTTGCAATTTGGAATTAACTGAGCGTGACCAATGCATTCGTTGGATTTTAATGCAGGCGAAATTTTCATGACCCTGTCTCCCTGTCATATAAGTTTCAGCGTACGTTCTTATCAACATCTCTTCACCTATTCGTCAGTGTCAAGATTCGACACTGTCAGTGTCAGAATTTACAAATCATTCCTCATGACGTTTACACAAATGGTTGAACTCTATCTTGTACATATTTAATGTGTATGTAGGTGTATGTGTTTGCGATGTTATGGTTTCTGTGCAGCATATGAAAAATATGACTTTGAAAAGCCACTGTCCCCCTGTCAGGAAACAACGTGGATGGCGCAGCACTCTTCTTTTTAGTGGGTGCACTTTTCCAGATTCCAGTGAGATCAATGTTCTTGCTTGAAAGATTGGACATGAATATTACTGTAATCATTGCTAGTAGCTTTGGAAACATTAGTTATAATATGTACAAGAGGTGAGATAGCTTACCATATCTCACTACTAAACGATGTAAACTTTAGAGTTAGCAGAGCTTGCTTATCCCTAATGATTGCAAAGATTGTTTGAATAGAAAGGGGATCTCAGGGATTACCTAATCAATGGCTAACTCTACTAACTCTAGCATATCAAAGGAACTAATGCTAAAGTCGTTTACATATTTTTGAGGTAGTGAGATGAGAGGTAGGTGAGGTGGGAATTAAGACCAACAGCAGGAACAAATGAGTGGTATATGTCATAATATAGTCTTGCCTCAGAAATAGCCATTCAACAGCACAGTATTGGATGATATTGAGAGAAAATGAATGACTTTTGACAATAGAGTTGCTACAGGTGTTTAAAATAAGTGTGTGAAGAATATTAATGCTGCCTGAAGTTCTGATGGTAATTGTTTTCAAACACGGTTCCGACAACATATTTAAGTTGTGATTCATGTCTTCTTTTAATGATGAAATGAGGAAAGTATTTGACTCACGGAAGCCTATTCGTGATTTTTGTGTTGCTGATGTCCTCAAGTCTGTTCGGCATGTTGCATGGGAAGTAGTGTTGTTTCTTCCTTCTAATCTGAGCAAATATGAGATATTAATGTATACTCATTTGTGCAGGGCGGTGGGATAGCCAAATGGTTAATGTAATCACGCTGAAGCCAATTCTGGTGTCCCCTGCCATGATATTTCTGGAATATTGCTAAAAGCCGTGTAAAACTCACTCATTTGTGCCAGTTGAACATTGACATGTTCCACAAGATAATGGCGTGCTTATATGTGTGTGTTACTGTTTCAGATTTTCTGTGAAAAGATGTACACCTAGGTCAGAGATCTGATTAACACATCAACAAGTGATTGGTGCATCTCAATACAAGCTCCCACAACACAGGTAGGTGTCAGCAGGACTAGTGTGTAGACAGGAAGGTGTCAGCAGGACTAGTCTGTAGACAGGTGGGTGTCGGCAGGTTAGTCTGTAGCAGGTAGATGTCGGCAGGTTTAGTCTGTATACAGGTAGGTGTCAGCAGGACTAGTCTGTAGACAGGTGGGTGTCGGCAGGACTAGTGTGTAGACAGGAAGGTGTCAGCAGGACTAGTCTGTAGACAGGTGGGTGTCGGCAGGTTAGTCTGTAGCAGGTAGATGTCGGCAGGTTTAGTCTGTATACAGGTAGGTGTCAGCAGGACTAGTCTGTAGACAGGTGGGTGTCGGCAGGACTAGTGTGTAGACAGATAGGTGTCAGCAGGACTAGTGTGTAGACTGGTATAGGTGTCAGCAGGACTAGTGTGTAGACTGGTATAGGTGTCAGCAGGACTAGTGTGTAGACTGGTATAGGTGTCAGCAGGACTAGTGTGTAGACAGATATAGGTGTCAGCAGGACTAGTGTGTAGACAGATAGGTGTCAGCAGGACTAGTGTGTAGACAGATAGGTGTCAGCAGGACTAGTGTGTAGACTGGTATAGGTGTCAGCAGGACTAGTGTGTAGACAGATATAGGTGTCAGCAGGACTAGTGTGTAGACTGGTATAGTCGTCAGCAGGACTAGTGTGTAGACAGATAGGTGTCAGCAGGACTAATGTGTAGACTGGTATAGGTGTCAGCAGGACTAATGTGTAGACTGGTATAGGTGTAAGCAGGGCTAGTGTGTTGTAGGAAGGTGTCAGCAGGACTAGTTTGTAGACAGGAAGGTGTCAGAAGGGCAAGTGTGTAGAAGGGAAGGTGTCAGCAGGACTAGTGTGTAGACAGGTAGGTGTCAGCAGGGCTAGTGAGTCGACGGGAAGGGGTCAGCAGGACTAGTGTGTAGTGTGTTACCTTCAAACCGACCTATTCCTCCAGGTGCTTTCGCTAATCCATGAGTTACAGTCAGACTGACCTATTCCTCTACATGCTCACTATGCCTATATAGGGGACAGCATGGCTTGATAGGTAGATTTTATATAGCCTGTAACTTAGTACGTAAAAGTTTCCCCATGTGTAAAATTAAGCAGGTTAACATTTGGCACAGTAAAATATTTAGTCCATTTTGTCAGAAAAAACATGTTTTAACTCATAGTCAGTGAAATCTGCTGCTCTTGGTGATAAATTCACTGGGTGTTTGTCCTACAGTTGACAACATGGGTGCCACAACCAGCAGTCTGGCCGACCTGGCCCAAAATGAATACCTGATGAGGCTGTCCGGGCGGGACCCCATCGACACTATGGACCCTTTCTGGAACCAGCTACTCTCCTTCTCCTTCCTCATCCCTGTCAACAGGTACGCTGCAAGCAGTAACCATGGTAACAGGTCCATTAGGAACTTCCAGTGTGACAGTGTTCATTATACATTGCTGATGGCCTTCCGTTCAACAACATATTATCATATGTGTGACTTTCACAAGACCCTGGTTGAAACTAGTGACCGATTCATAAGCCTAATTCAACTCTGTTTGCATACATTATGCATGCAGTGTTCATACATGTGAGGCTTTACATCCATTATGCATGCAGTGGACATACAATTGAGGTTTTACATACGTTATGCATGTAGTGGTCATACAATTGAGGCTTTACATACATTATGCATGCAGTGGTCATACAATTGAGGCTTTACATACGTTATGCATGCAGTGGACATACAATTGAGGTTTTACTTACATTATGCATGTAGTGGTCATACAATTGAGGCTTTACATACATTATGCATGCAATGGTCATACAATTGAGGCTTTACTTAAATTATGCATGCAGTGGTCATTCAATTGAGGTTTTACATACGTTCTGCATGCAGTGGTCATACAATTGACGTTTTACATACATTATGCATGCAGTGGTCATACATTTGAGGTGTTACATTATGCATGCAGTGATCATACAATTGAGACCTTATTTACATTATGCATGCAGTGGTCATACAATTGAGGCTTTACATACATTATGCATGCAGTGGTCATACAATTGAGGCTTTACTTACATTATGCATGTAGTGGTCATACAATTGAGGCTTTACTTACATTATGCATGCAGTGGTCATTCAATTGAGGTTTTACATACGTTATGCATGCAGTGGTCATACAATTGAGGTTTTACATACGTTGTGCATGCAGTGGTCATACATTTGAGGTTTTACATACATTATGCATGCAGTGATCATACAATTGAGGCTTTACTTACATTATGCATACAGTGGTCATACAATTGGGGCTTTACTTACATTATGCATGCAGTGATCATACAATTGAGGTTTTACATACATTATGCATGCAGTGGTCATACAATTGAGACCTTATTTACATTATGCATGCAGTGGTCATACAATTGGGGCTTTACTTACATTATGCATGCAGTGGTCATACAATTGACCTTTTACATACATTATGCATGCAGTGGTCATACAATTGACGTTTTACATACATTATGCATGCAGTGGTCATACAATTGAAGTTTTACATACATTATGCATGCAGTGGTCATACAATTGATGTTTTACATACATGCATGCAGTGGTCATTCAGTTGAGACTTTATTTACATTATGCATGCAGTGGTCATACAATTGACGTTTTACATACATTATGCATGCAGTGGTCATACAATTGACGTTTACATACATTATGCATGCAGTGGTCATACAATTAACGTTTTACATACATTATGCATGCAGTGGTCATAGAATTGACATTTTACAAACATTATGCATTCAGTGGTCATACAATTGATGTTTTACATACATTATGCATGCAGTGGTCATTCAGTTGAGACTTTATTTACATTATGCATGCAGTGGTCATACAATTGAGGTTTTACATACATTATGCATGCAGTGGTCATACAATTGGGGCTTTACTTACATTATGCATGCAGTGGTCATACAATTGACGTTTTACATACATTATGCATGCAGTGGTCATACAATTGACGTTTTACATACATTATGCATGCAGTGGTCATACAATTGACGTTTTACATTCATTATGCATGCAGTGGTCATACAATTGGCGTTTGACATACATTATGCATGCAGTGGTCATTCAGTTGAGACTTTATTTACATTATGCATGCAGTGGTCATACATTTGAGGTTTTACATACATTATGCATGCAGTGGTCATACAATTGAGGCTTTACTTACATTATGCATGCAGTGGTCATACAATTGAGGTTTTACATACATTATGCATGCAGTGGTCATACAATTGAGGCTTTACATACATTATGCATGCAGTGGTCATACAATTGACGTTTTACTTACATTATGCATGCAGTGGTCATACAATTGACGTTTTACATTCATTATGCATGCAGTGGTCATACAATTGATGTTTTACATACATGCATGCAGTGGTCATTCAGTTGAGACTTTATTTACATTATGCATGCAGTGGTCATACATACACACCTGTCATCATCTGTCACAGCTCAGATTCCAAGCTCTTGGAGGATTCCACTGAGAGGATATGCAGCAACTTTGCCATCAACAACACACACACAGGCAATTTCGGCGCCCTTGTCCACAATTTCCTAGTGCGAGCTGCGGAGCTGAAGGCCTCTGCCCAGTGTGAGGAGTAAGTAGCAGGGGAGACAACTGATGTGTTCCCAGGATGTATTAAAGTTAACGCATGTTTAACATGTTTATCAATACAGCCAATAAAAGATAGAACCTGATCTATGAGGTCCATCACTCAACCACTTTTCACTTTTGTCAACCTGCACTTTTCATTCTAAATGCCTCTCAAAAAAGTTGGCTGCACTTTTCACAATTGATTTGGTTTATGATAGACATATAGACAATTATTTTTGGTATGTACAACAATGGATTTAGATCTGACTGCAATAAATTGCTGAAAGTCTAACCCACATTGTAGAATTAGTTTTTGAGGTAGCATGTAAGGTAGATGTTGCGCTTCATGACCACCAAGACAAGGATTGTCTCAAACTCTGTGTTAGACCCAGTCAAGGAATGTTTCATTGACAGAGGGGCGGTGGGGTAGCCTAGTGGATAAGGTGTTGGCTCATCATGCGGGTTCGATTCCTCACATTGGTACAATGTGTGAAGCCCATTTCTAGTGTCCCCCACCATAATATTGCTAAAAGCGGCTTATAACCATACTCACTCACTCATGATATTACTGTAATATTGCTAAAATCTACGTAAAATCAAACTCACTCATTGACAGAGCTCAAGGCCAAAGTAAGTGAAAGTAATCAGGGACAGATAACTCCTGCAACTATCCGATACAGATGGTGGAAGAAGGGGCATGTTTAAGGTTCTATGTATAGGATGGAAGTTTGGAAGGAAAATGCAAGTCACTAATACACTTACAAATATGGCCATTAAAATTGTGTATTTTTTTACTTTTTGACAATGTTTATTGTACAGTGGAATCTGTCTATTACGGACTGGCCAGGGACTGACTCATTTGTCTGGATTGCAAAACAGTCCAGATTTGACAAGTTTTGTCCGTAACCGTAGACACTGCCACAATGAGTTAGCATGCTAAGAGGAGGGTATTGATCTTGTCCAACTTTCTGCTGATCTGCTGCTTGCTATTTTCACTTAGGTTGTTTTCAAAAAGTTGACGGTAATGTTCACTTCTCTTCAAAATATCTGATACACTCTGTTTGCTTATCTTGTATTTCTCAGCGAGATCTTTCTGTTTTCACCTCTCTGACTTGTCAATAAGTAACAGAGATGTTTATTCAATGGATTGTTGTTTTAGTCAGCTACGTTTGGATTACAAAGCATTGTTCTCCTAGCAAGTTGATTGTCGGGACTGTTATTTTAGTCCATAATCTGTAATTGAGAGAGTATGGACAGCAGTCCAGATTTTGGAGAAAACCGGATTACACAGATTCCGGAATTGACAGATTTCACTGTAATTGGATAGGTGGCCATAGTTTAGCAGGAAAATACTGGTTTTGTTTGAAGATAGTTTGATGGATGTGTTTGTGTCTCCAGCAACATCTTCATCTGGCAGACCTACAATGCCCTCTTCATCATCCGAAGTTTCTGTAAATACTTTGTGGAGCATTTGAGTGAAGAGCTAGTGTTACAACAGTTTGACTGCAAGCCTCCAGGAGAGAATGGTGAGTTCAGGGTAGACCTTGACATATATCCTTTGTTCCTTAATAATGTTTACAGTTGATTGCCTTCACTTCAAAAGAGAAAAATATTGCAAATCATGAAATCTGTACACAACCAAATTAATGTGAGCGGTGTAAAATGTATCATGAAATTCATGAGAGTGGACCTTTCTTTGAACTGAAAAAAAATCATGGACATTGACTCCAAGTCCAAGATTGTGGATGGTTGGTTGGTTTGTTGTTTATCACCGCTCTGAGCAATATTCCAGCTATATAGCGTCCGTCTGTAAATAATCGAGTCTGGACCAGACAATCCAGTGATCAACAGCATGAGCATCAATCTACTCAATTGGCATGTGATGACATTTGCTCAACATTGTGGACTTGACATGTCATCGGATGGTATGTTTCCTGACATTATGTGTTTCCAGTAGTGTTGGGAATTGGTTAAAATCTTGCACTTGATGATTGGTTCAATACAACAGATCAGTCATCGAAAATAATTGGTTAGCATTATTTATCAAATTCTCCTGGTTATGTTTGTTAATGCACAAAAAATATAGCAAAAAAGTAGTTTTGGGGGGTTTTGGTGTTTTTTTGCAAATTGCACAAAATGCATTTACAAAAGTCACATCTTTAATATAACTAGTATGTTAGGAACATAAATTTCCTGGAGTCTTTCGCGATAAATTCAATCATTACAAGGAATGAACTTGTAGTGCTTGTAAAATGTAACAGACAAAACCAACCTTGTGAAAAATGTTGTTAATGCAAACAAGTTTTCCTAAATTGTTTGTGTTTGATAATGAGAAAACATGATCGATTGCTTGGTCGTTTAGTCATTGCGAGCAATCTTCAATTATTTCAATTAATCGGACCACCACCAGTTTTCAGGCGACATTATTCACTGTGGCAAAAATAAAGTGGGTTGTATCACACAGACATTGTAAATGCTCAGAGGATGGCTCATGTTCAAGATAATTTGTCTGTAATAAGTCAGTGAGATGTTCTACAATTGTTCTCAAGCATCTCCCACCTACACAAGGATCGTAGGTGGGAGCAGTTTGATATTTGGTTAAAATGCTGTGTTCACAGAGTACTGCTTGACAGGTGATCTAACTTACTTGAAATCTAAACCAAGAAGTTCCAAATAATCTGTATTCAAATAAGATAGGTTCGATCATTTACAAACATTGCACACGTTCCAAGTCTTACATCGGTTCAGTTCTATGAAGTGATCTGATGTGAAATAGGGTTTAACATCGTACTTGATAATATTTCGCTCATATGACAACGTGCATGTGTGGCTGCTTGTACTAGCCCAGACTTGAGCTGTTTTTATAGTGCTAGCTCACTGAGATACCATGCAGTTAAGCATGAATACCCCACGCAGACACATTATACTGACTCTGAGCCGACCAGTCCTTGTTGTACCCATTAATGCCGAGTGCCAGGCTAGGACCAACAAGTACCATATTTTAACGTCTTTTGGTATGACGCAGCTGAGGATCAAACCTTCCGCTCGGAAGGACGATCTAACCACTACATCGCGGAGGCGGTCTTCGGTTTTGAACATAAATGAGCAGCACATGGATGAGCAGTGTTTTGCTTGTAAATATAAGATTATTTGACATGATTACAAACAATACAAACAGCTTGATCAACTTGGTAAACAAACTGACCAAACTGGACACTGGAACCAACTGAGAAGCTCTAAAGTGCTTGATTTGATTCCATTGGTTTTACTTATGTCCTTGGTTCTACCAGTGTTTTGTGAACGTGACATGACAATACCCTCTGATGAAGAGGGAGTTACTTTATACATATGGTGTATATGTCAACACACTTTGCTGAACTCACAAAATAACTTTTGTCCACCCTGTAGTTGACAGCAGCCTTGAAGGGGACATCAACGAAGTGGATCCAACAATCGGGGAGCTGGCGGAGAAGCTCATGTCATCCCTGGTGGAGTTATTGGTGGACGTCCCTGTCTTGTAAGTACACTACTGTTGGTGGACGTCTCTGTCTTGTAAGTACACTACTTTTGGTGGACGTCCCTGTCTTGTAAGTACACCACTGTTGGTGGACGTCTCTGTCATGTAAGTACACTACTGTTGGTGGACGTCTCTGTCTTGTAAGTACACCACTGTTGGTGGACGTCTCTGTCTTGTATGTACACCACTGTTGGTGGACATCTCTGTCTTGTAAGTACACTACTGTTGGTGGACGTCCCTGTCTTGTAAGTACACCACTGTTGGTGGACGTCTCTGTCTTGTAAGTACACCACTGTTGGTGGACGTCTCTGTCATGTAAGTACACCACTGTTGGTGGACGTCTCTGTCATGTAAGTACACTACTGTTGATGGACGTCCCTGTCTTGTAAGTACACTACTGTTGGTGGGCGCCCCTGTCTTAATAAAGTACACTACTGTTGGTGGACGTCTCTGTCATGTAAGTACACTACTGTTGGTGGACGTCCCTGTCTTGTAAGTACACTACTGTTGGTGGACGTCTCTGTCATGTAAGTACACTACTGTTGGTGGACGTCTCTGTCATGTAAGTACACTACTGTTGGTGGACGTCCCTGTCTTGTAAGTACACTACTGTTGGTGGACGTCTCTGTCATGTAAGTACACTACTGTTGGTGGACGTCTCTGTCATGTAAGTACACTACTGTTGGTGGACGTCCCTGTCTTGTAAGTACACCACTGTTGGTGGACGTCCACATGTGTGATATGTTGCAAGTACCCTGCACAGCCTAAGTAAACTTATGCTCAGTGTTATTTGTTACCCTCTAACAAACCTCAGCAGAAAGTCGGTCAGTATCGGGAAAGATATACATGTAGTGCAGCCTTATGTGGGTACTGGGATCGTTTCATACTTCTTCAAAATAAAAACCTATGTTCTTCGAGCTTGGTTCTTCTGCATTTATTTCAACCGCCATCATTTTACACGTCATCTCATGATGTCATCATATTCCACACTTCACTCATTACGTCATCATTTCCTGCACACACAGAAACTATTTCTAAACAAAAATGTGACTAATTATCATTGTGACTGTGGTTGTCTGCTGACTGATATAAATATAACAATATATATTGATGTTAGATTACATTACAAAATAGAATAATGAGGGTCTATTTTGACATACAGCTAAAAGTCCTTACATCAGAAATATTACCTACCTTGCTAAAGTTAAATGATGACAAAACTGAGGTGATGGTTGTTGGATCCAGGCAAATGAAAAAACAAATTACCACCAGTACTGTTCTGGTAGCAGATGCAGAGATACAACCAGTGGACTCTGTTAAAGACCTTGGAGTTACACTTGACTCACACCTGGCGATGGACACTCATGTAAATCAACTCTGCAGAATATGCTTCTTTCATCTACGAGCCATTGGCAGAATACGTCATTGCATCAGTCGTGATGCAGCACACGGTCTGGTCCAGGGACTTGTTATATCAAGAATTGATTACTGCAATAGCCTCCCTTTTGGTATTTCTCAGAAGCTGCTATCAAAATTGCAAAATGTCCAAAATACAGCCTCGAATCATAAGCAGAACTTCAAAGCTCACACATAACACCTGTCATGAAAAACCTCCACTGGCTGCCTGTTAAATCAAGAATTGACTTTAAAATATTGTGTTTTGTCTACAAATGCCTCAATGGCATAGGCCCAGAATACTTGAAAGAACTTCTTACCCCATACACTCCAGAAAGACAGCTCCGTTCTCAGAATCTGAACCTACTCTCTGTGCCTCGGTTCAAACTGCAAACTTTTGGAGGGAAATCCTTTGCCTGCTCTGCCCCTCTACTCTGGAACTCTCTCCCTATCACCATTAAATCAGCAGTTGACTTTAATTCCTTCAAACGACTTCTCAAGACTCATCTGTTTTTACTGCATTATGAAACTGGCTACTAGTCCCTCATTGTATATATGTATATTATCCACCCACTTTGTTAGTGCTTTGAGCATGGGCCTTGTGCATGGAAAAGGCGCATTATAAGTTCACATTTATTATTATTATTATTACCTACCTATCTTGCAAATTAGGCTTAGTCATTCATATACTCCTCACAAAAAAATTAAGCAACAAGTATTTTCAGTGTAATATCTTATCAATCTCGATAACGATTTTTGCCGGTATGTTACTGAAAGGTAAATATTGAACGAATACATAGCCTTTAGTGACTGTCAAATTGATTTATCTGATAACATTGACAACATCACCTGAACACAACCACCCTCACAAACAACATGGAAAATGTGTGTCATGAATGTGCTCCACACTCCACACATGCACTCTGATCGGTTAAACTACCAGTAAACCTACCAGTAATTATTCCTCTGGTACAACAAGCGGGTCCTGACTTCATTATTATGGATGATAATGCCCGTCCACGTCGAGAAAGAGTTGCTAACGATGTTGTTTAGAACAACAACATTATACATATGGACTGGAATGCAAGGTCGCCTGATCTTAATCCCACTGAACATGCTTGGGACATTATTGGAAGTCATTGTGGTCTTACGCGTTACTGAACACAGCTTCACTGTCCAAAACTGACTTGAACTTTAATGTTAACATTTTGCTCAATCAATGCAGCACATTTTGCACGACTGTTTCACGGGTACATGCTTTGATGATTTGTAAGTCTATTATTGCTCAATACCATTTCATATCATTTTGTTCATCACGTGTACATATGTTTCACCTTTCTATTGCATCATTTCATGATCTGCAATTTCAATAAATGGAAATGTAATAAGACTAAACTTTGTGTTGCTTAACTTTTTGTGAGGAGTATATTATGATTACTGAAGCACTCGTAAAATATTCATAAAGTCACTAAAAATAAATAATCTCAGTATATAACATGAGCTTACCTTTGAGTGATCTATGCTAGTGCAATCAAAAGCGAGATAGCCTAACAGATTTAACCAATCAGACAACGGCTACAATTTAGGGTTCGGCGGGTTTCACAAAATAGATTTTCTCTTCACACGTTAAAGTACAAACAGTATGTGTTAACTTTTGCGATTTGGTAAGCTGTGTTCTGATTGGTCAATTCAAAAAGGTAAGCTGACACAACCATCTATTAGAGTTTGTTAGACTCAGTATAGCAGTGTAACGACTAATACTGAGCCTATGTTTACTTAGACTGGTATCCTGCATAACACAAACAATGTTTTACATCACTGTCAGTAATATAACAGTTGGGTAGCCTAGTGGTTAAAGCATTCACTCCGTGTTCAATTCCCCACATCGGTACAATGTGTGAGCCCATTTCTGGTGTCCCTTGCCGTGATATTGCTGGAATATTGCTAAAAGTGGCGGAAAACTAAAACTCACTCACTCACTCAGTGATGTAACAGATCATGGCAGTATGTAAACAATCCAGTCTGGACAAGGCAAATCAAAAGTGGACAATATGATCAACGATTAGATATCTAGATATTGATGACAGCTTTTTCTCATTTTTGTAGCCACAAACACACTTGTTGTAACAGACCTAACTGGAATATTTAGTTGATATGTTTATATAATTTCAGTTGTTTGTTTCAGGAATTTCACATATGCGTTGCACCTTGAAACACTGAACACATTGCTGACGCTGCTGTCAATACAGATGTTCCATGCACAGCCAGCCAGCAAGTTCACCCTGTACCGGTTCATTATGGATGGAAGATGGTGAGTTGGCCATTCTGTGATTACCTCCCTTAGCTGCCAACATCTCAAATTGAGTTTCCATCCTAGATTCATCTGGATTGATTCTGGTCCTTCACACTCCATGAGGACCTATATATGACCTGTAATGCTATAGGCCTTCGTCCCATGAAATATCCGAAAACTTCATCACTATCACCAAAATGATTGAGCATAATCAGGGTTTTACATGACACGTGATTCCTGCGTATTTGACGCAACAATTTTGTAAACGACTCTCAAAATATTATCATACGAGTCAAGCTTGACACAGGTTTTATGGGTGGACCTCACAATTCAGTTTAATAAAATCGATTTGATAAACAAAAAATGATATTGCTCGATGATAGTTTGACTTTTACGGAGTTGTCAGGTTATTCCAGAGAACTCGGAGGAGACAGTAATCCTGGCTGTTTGAATTGAACAATGCTGTAGTTTCATTTGGTGGTGTGACATACACAGTTACGTACTGAGAATGATTAACACAAAGAAATATTAAACTTTTCATGACTCCCAAATATTGAAAATGACTCCCAAAAATAAATGTTGTGAGTCACCATGACTCCTAATTTTAAAAGTCTGTGTACCTGCATATAATGTTATAGTGCAATCCACGCCCCCATGCTGATCAAGGCTCTGCTATGGAACTATATCAACCAGGAGAAGTGTCCTTCCGAACTCTACAAGAGTAGCGCTGATGGCGCCAATACTTTCTACAACGTCACTGCTGCTGTTGCCTGTGAGTGATAGACAAGTTATAATCTATGATCTATAAATGTGTCTAAATTGAATTCCGCAAATCCATTTTGCAAGAGTATGAGGCAAAAACGTAAAAGGATATCCAGAGTTTGGTGCCACCTTCTGACAATCTCCATGACAGTTCCCACACTCACCAACCCGTGATGGTCCGGGTTAGAATTGGTCTTCAGTAACCCATGCTTGTCATAAGAGGTGACTAACGGGATCGGGTGGTCAGGCTCGCTGATGTGGTTGACTCATGACATTGTATCTCAATTGCGTAGATCGATGCTCTTGTTTTTGATCACTGGATTGTCTGGTCCAAAGTTGATTATTTACAGACTGCCATATATCCGGAATATTGCTGAGTGCGGCATTAAACAACAATCCAAAACAACAACAACAACCCCTCACGCCTCAGTAAATGTCATCTGTAGAGTTAAAGTACGCAATTGTCTCCTGACACCAGTGTTTGTGTTCCAGCTAGTCTGTGGTCCGTGGTGACACTCGGTATGGGAAGCAGCCCAAAGAAAAAGGAAGAGGAGTTCTCGGAGACATTGTTAGCCAATCAGAGCCTTCTGTTCATACTAGTGCTAGCCAATCACTGCACCAGTGACTCCAGCTTGACCAACCCTTACAGAGAGGCTCTGTTTGCCTTCACAGACTCACAAGGTATGTAATTTGATTGATATTTATCAGAACAAATAGGATTTAATTGTTCCATTCTTACATTCTGCTGACCAGACGGGTTGTCTTGCCACCAATACATATGACATCACATCATTTAACAGAAACTTACAGACAATCCTTTGATAAACTGCTTTCATTTTTGCAGGTGTTTTTGAGCAAATTGTGTACTGAAAGTTTAACATTTGAAATCTGGAAGGAACATTTCAGGCAACAAACAGTCTCAAGTGCCTTGTAATGTATAATGGCCATGTACTTCTGGATGTGTACATTTGGTGCTGTACTTGCAGACACCTCGTCCATGAACCCTGTGATAGCCGGCCCTACGTTCAAGATGGACTTAGGTCGTCTGTATTCAACCCTGTGTTCCACGCTGAGAGACGACCAGACTACACTGTTGCTGTACCTTCTGATACACCAGAATATGTCCATGAAGGCGTTCATCCTGTCCCGGACCAACATAGACCAGCTGGTCAGTACAGGATACTCCACATTCTCAGTCTTCATGCTTACAATTCATTGACAAACCAGACTGTCATGTTCTCATGGTTATACGTGATGTTACAGTTTCATGTTACAAGTGATGACACTGTTGTCATGTTACAGGTGGTGACACTGTTGTCATGTTACAAGTGATGACACTGTTGTTATGTTACAGGTGATGACACTGTTGTCATGTTACAAGTGATGACACTGTTGTCATGTTACAGGTGATGACACTGTTGTCATGTTACAGGTGATGACACTGTTGTCATGTTACAGATGATGACACTTGTCATGTTACAGATGATGACACTGTTGTCATGTTACAGGTGATGACACTGTTGTCATGTTACAGGTGATGACACTGTTGTCATGTTACAGATGATGACACTGTTGTCTTGTTACAGATGATGACACTGTTGTCATGTTACAGGTGATGACACTGTTGTCATGCTACAGGTGAAGACACTGTTGTCAGTTTACAGGTTATGGAACTGTTGTCATGTTACAAGTGATGACACTGTTGTCATGTTACAGGTGATGACACTGTTGTCATGTTACAGATGATGACTGTTGTTCATGTTGATGTCTGTTGTGTTACAGATGATGACACTGTTGTCATGTTACAGATGATGACACTGTTGTCATGTTACAGATGATGACACTGTTGTCATGTTACAGATGATGACACTGTTGTCATGTTACAGGTGATGACACTGTTGTCATGTTACAGATGATGACACTGTTGTCATGTTACAGATGATGACACTGTTGTCTTGTTACAGATGATGACACTGTTGTCATGTTACAGGTGATGACACTGTTGTCATGTTACAGGTGAAGACACTGTTGTCAGTTTACAGGTTATGGAACTGTTGTCATGTTACATGTGTTGTTGCCATGTTACAGGTGATGCCTCTACTTCACATCCTCTACCAAGCCCAGGAGCGCAACTCACATCACATCTACATGGCTCTCATTATACTGCTTGTACTTAGTGAAGATGAAGTTTTCAACAAAGCAGTCCACGAAATTGTGAGTAACTTACATGGTTTACACCAAACCAGTTTAGTTCCTACAGAATTTGGATGATAAATTCAGACTATGAATACACTTAAAAACAGTGCAGATTTACTAATTTCATAAAAGCAAGTTCTTGATGTGCAAGATGTGCAAAATTGATAGCAAGGTTATTTAAAAATAAATTTACTTGATTCACAAACTCAATTCTTGAGAAAAAATGTCACGGAAATGTTTCTGGTGTCCCCCGCCGTGATATTGCTGGAATATTGCTAAAAGCGGCGTAAAAACAAAACTCACTCACTCACTCACTCTCACTCACTCACTTATCCTGCATTACAGCCATTTTCATTGAGTGTTATGTAGACTTGGTTGTAGTATGTGGTTCCTTATTATGTTGGAGTTCCTAGCATCAGGAAGTACCACTGATCTTGATTCGAATATTTAAACAACACTTATTTACCATAGATATGTGTTTTGTCTGTTCTGCTTGTGTACTATCTTTGATTGTTGACACAGCGATCAAATCGATAAGCATACAGGGCAGAAAAAGCCCTGTCATCTGGTAATTAGCAGATGAACATCATGTGTTGGCCAATTTCCCGAGCGTCATTGGGTATTTGAAGCACAGGAATTCATTTGGAACCAACAGCGTTAGTGTCATCAGATGGCCATTTCGGCTGGTTCCCATGGTAACATCTGTAACTGCTCATTTGTGACATCATTCCAGCTTTACATCACAATATGATTTGAATGACGACGCAACAATACAATTGTGTGCGATATTTGTACATATTAATGCGCAGCAAATAGTCTTGCAATTTCAGGGAGTCGAAATTCCATTTGATCCTGTTTTTCAACCAATCAGATAAAAGAACACAGTGACTTTTGGTTTATGATTTGATTTAAAAGAACAAAAACTTCAGGCTGGCCAAATCATTGAAATTGCTCAAACAACCTGAAAGCTATGTTTGCCCACAGTGTGCGAAATAGTTTCCCGAATCTTGCTAGCCAGTCAGGCTAGTTATAAGTCACTAGCCCAAAATCTGAATGTAGACACTGGTTTCATCATTAAGCTGTGCTAATATATTGAACATTTTTCTCGGGCAATAATCTTGCATGATTTAAAAGTGTATTATAACTTAACAAGTCGGAGAGAGTGATATATTTACAAAATGACCCCATGAAAGTTTACTAACCAGCCAGGCCAGTGACTGGAGCTTTACTGGCCCAACTGGATTTTTACTAGCCACAGGCTAGCGGGCCAGTGGCTATTTCGCACACTGTGTGCCCTAGAGCTGTGACCAATCAGAGCCTTCTGTTCATACTGATGAAAGCAAATCACTGCTGGTAGATAAAGCTGGAGTCATGTAAATTGTACTGTAATAGACATCTATTTCTCAAACCTGAAATGACACCAGTAATGTCTGATAGTGATGTACTTGCAAATACTTTGTTGATGAACATGTTTGAGTGATCCTGGGCTGCGAGAGCTTGCGTAATGGTGCAGCCACCATCATCCGTCATGTATGGTTGAACCACTTCTTGATAGATCAGAGCTAAGAGCAACGTAATTCCATTCTCAGTCACAGGATGGTTCCACAAGAATACAACCAACACACTGATATTTCAGAATCTAAAGAATATCCTGTGGTTCAAGGAGCGACCACTGACAGAGATCTCACTGGGAGGACTTCTCATCCTTGTTGTGATACGGACAGTCCAGTTCAACATGACACGCATGAGGGTGAGTACGTTATGGACAGAGATGTCACTGGGAGGACTTCTCATCCTTGTTGTGATACGGACAGTCCAGTTCAACATGACACGCATGAGGGTGAGTACGTTATAGACAGAGATGTCACTGGGAGGACTTCTCATCCTTGTTGTGACACGCATGAGGGGACAGTCCAGTTCAACATGACACGCATGAGGGTGAGTACGTTATAGACAGAGATGTCACTGGGAGGACTTCTCATCCTTGTTGTGACACGGACAGTCCAGTTCAACATGACACGCATGAGGGTGAGTACGTGATAGACAGAGATCTCACTGGGAGGACTTCTCATCCTTGTTGTGACACAGACAGTCCAGTTCAACATGACACGCATGAGGGTGAGTACGTGATAGACAGAGATCTCACTGGGAGGACTTCTCATCCTTGTTGTGACACGGACAGTCCAGTTCAACATGACACGCATGAGGGTGAGTACGTGATAGACAGAGATCTCACTGGGAGGACTTCTCATCCTTGTTGTGATACGGACAGTCCAGTTCAACATGACACGCATGAGGGTGAGTAAGTGATAGACAGAGATCTCACTGGGAGGACTTCTCATCCTTGTTGTGATACGGACAGTCCAGTTCAACATGACACGCATGAGGGTGAGTACGTGATAGACAGAGATGTCACTGGGAGGACTTCTCATCCTTGTTGTGATAACGGACAGTCCAGTTCAACGTGACACGCATGAGGGTGAGTACGTGATAGACAGAGATGTCACTGGGAGGACTTCTCAGAGAGTCCAGTTCAACGTGATCACATGAGGGTGGGAGGACAGAGATTCTCATCTCTTGTTGTGATAGGACAGTCCAGTTCAACGTGACACGCATGAGGGTGAGTACGTGATAGACAGAGATGTCACTGGGAGGACTTCTCATCCTTGTTGTGATACAGACAGTCCAGTTCAACATGACACGCATGAGGGTGAGTACGTTATAGACAGAGATGTCACTGGGAGGACCTTGTGACAGCCCACAACCTTGCCAGACCCAGACTGTAGTCAATGGTAAATATTCCCATGCATCTTGCTATAGGACATAGCGGAGAATCAGCTGGAACAGGGGAGGTAATCAGGTCCTGTAGATTTGAATTACCTCCCTTCGATTGTTGGACAGAACCCTGTCATATTTTCAGCGGACAGCATCATACATACTTTACAATGCTATATATGCGCTCTACATGCCCATCTGGCAAGTGCTGAGTTGGCGCTTTTTCGCAGTTCAGGTGTTTAATTTCAGATTTTGCATTTCTACGACAGTGATAGGTTGGACTTTGCAAAGTATAACTCAAACTATTCAATATATCATGATGATAAACTTCAAAATATCATACATTATACCAGGCTGTTAATATCTTTGGTTTAACAAATTCCCCATCAGTCTGTGCTTGTTTGACTCTGTAGTCAGATTAGGTTGGTTGTGTGACACGATACCCTGACAGTGGGATCGTAACTCAGTAGTTGGGTTGGTCAGATTAGGTTGGTTGTGTGACACGATACCCTGACAGTGGGATCGTAACTCAGTAGTTGGGTTGGTCAGATTAGGTTGGTTGTGTGACACGATACCCTGACAGTGGGATCGTAACTCAGTAGTTGGGTTGGTCAGATTAGGTTGGTTGTGTGACACGATACCCTGACAGTGGGATCGTAACTCAGTAGTTGGGTTGGTCAGATTAGGTTGGTTGTGTGACCACGATACCCTGACAGTGGGATCGTAACTCAGTAGTTGGGTTGGTCAGATTAGGTTGGTTGTGTGACGATACCCTGACAGTGGGATCGTAACTCAGTAGTTGGGTTGGTCAGATAAGGTTGGTTGTGTGACCACGATACCCTGACAGTGGGATAAGTAACTCAGTAGTTGGGTTGGTCAGATAAGGTTGGTTGTGTGACACGATACCCTGACAGTGGGATCGAAGTAACTCAGTAGTTGGGTTGGTCAGATAAGGTTGGTTGTGTGACCACGATACCCTGACAGTGGGATCGTAACTCAGTAGTTGGGTTGGTCAGATAAGGTTGGTTGTGTGACACGATACCCTGACAGTGGGATCGTAACTCAGTAGTTGGGTTGGTCAGATAAGGTTGGTTGTGTGACACGATACCCTGACAGTGGGATAAACTAACTCAGTAGTTGGGTTGGTCAGATAAGGTTGGTTGTGTGACACGATACCCTGACAGTGGGATCGTAACTCAGTAGTTGGTTGGTCAGATTAGGTTGGTTGTGTGACACGATACCCTGACAGTGGGATCGTAACTCAGTAGTTGGGTTGGTCAGATAAGGTTGGTTGTGTGACACGATACCCTGACAGTGGGATCGTAACTCAGTAGTTCTGTTGGTCAGATTAGGTTGGTTGTGTGACACGATACCCTGACAGTGGGATCGTAACTCAGTAGTTCTGTTGGTCAGATTAGGTTGGTTGTGTGACACGATACCCTGACAGTGGGATCGTAACTCAGTAGTTGGGTTGGTCAGATAAGGTTGGTTGTGTGACACGATACCCTGACAGTGGGATCGTAACTCAGTAGTTGGGTTGGTCAGATAAGGTTGGTTGTGTGACACGATACCCTGACAGTGGGATCGTAACTCAGTAGTTGGGTTGGTCAGATAAGGTTGGTTGTGTGACACGATACCCTGACAGTGGGATCGTAACTCAGTAGTTCTGTTGGTCAGATTAGGTTGGTTGTGTGACACGATACCCTGACAGTGGGATGCGTAACTCAGTAGTTGGGTTGGTCAGATTAGGTTGGTTGTGTGACACGATACCCTGACAGTGGGATCGTAACTCAGTAGTTGGGTTGGTCAGATTAGGTTGGTTGTGTGACCACGATACCCTGACAGTGGGATCGTAACTCAGTAGTTGGGTTGGTCAGATAAGGTTGGTTGTGTGACACGATACCCTGACAGTGGGATCGTAACTCAGTAGTTGGGTTGGTCAGATAAGGTTGGTTGTGTGACACGATACCCTGACAGTGGGATCGTAACTCAGTAGTTCTGTTGGTCAGATTAGGTTGGTTGTGTGACCACGATACCCTGACAGTGGGATAAAGTAACTCAGTAGTTCTGTTGGTCAGATTAGGTTGGTTGTGTGACACGATACCCTGACAGTGGGATCGTAACTCAGTAGTTGGGTTGGTCAGATAAGGTTGGTTGTGTGACACGATACCCTGACAGTGGGATCGTAACTCAGTAGTTGGGTTGGTCAGATTAGGTTGGTTGTGTGACACGATACCCTGACAGTGGGATCGTAACTCAGTAGTTGGGTTGGTCAGATTAGGTTGGTTGTGTGACCACGATACCCTGACAGTGGGATCGTAACTCAGTAGTTGGGTTGGTCAGATAAGGTTGGTTGTGTGACACGATACCCTGACAGTGGGATCGTAACTCAGTAGTTGGGTTGGTCAGATAAGGTTGGTTGTGTGACACGATACCCTGACAGTGGGATCGTAACTCAGTAGTTGGGTTGGTCAGATAAGGTTGGTTGTGTGACCACGATACCCTGACAGTGGGATCGTAACTCAGTAGTTGGGTTGGTCAGATTAGGTTGGTTGTGTGACACGATACCCTGACAGTGGGATCGTAACTCAGTAGTTGGGTTGGTCAGATAAGGTTGGTTGTGTGACACGATACCCTGACAGTGGGATCGTAACTCAGTAGTTGGGTTGGTCAGATAGGTTGGTTGTGTGACACGATACCCTGACAGTGGGATCGTAACTCAGTAGTTCGGTTGGTCAGATTAGGTTGGTTGTGTGACACGATACCCTGACAGTGGGATCGTAACTCAGTAGTTGGGTTGGTCAGATTAGGTTGGTTGTGTGACACGATACCCTGACAGTGGGATCGTAACTCAGTAGTTGGGTTGGTCAGATTAGGTTGGTTGTGTGACACGATACCCTGACAGTGGGATAAAGTAACTCAGCAGTTGGGTTGGTCAGATAAGGTTGGTTGTGTGACCACGATACCCTGACAGTGGGATCGTAACTCAGTAGTTGGGTTGGTCAGATTAGGTTGGTTGTGTGACACGATACCCTGACAGTGGGATCGTAACTCAGTAGTTGGGTTGGTCAGATTAGGTTGGTTGTGTGACACGATACCCTGACAGTGGGATCGTAACTCAGTAGTTGGGTTGGTCAGATAAGGTTGGTTGTGTGACACCCGATACCCTGACAGTGGGATCGTAACTCAGTAGTTGGGTTGGTCAGATAAGGTTGGTTGTGTGACCACGATACCCTGACAGTGGGATCGTAACTCAGTAGTTCGGTTGGTCAGATAAGGTTGGTTGTGTGATACCGATACCCTGACAGTGGGATCGTAACTCAGTAGTTGGGTTGGTCAGATAAGGTTGGTTGTGACCACGATACCCTGACAGTGGGATCGTAACTCAGTAGTTGGAGTTGGTCAGATAAGGTTGGTTGTGTGACCACGATACCCTGACAGTGGGATAAATAACTCAGTAGTTGGGTTGGTCAGATAAGGTTGGTTGTGTGACACGATACCCTGACAGTGGGATCGTAACTCAGTAGTTGGGTTGGTCAGATAAGGTTGGTTGTGTGACCACGATACCCTGACAGTGGGATCGTAACTCAGTAGTTGGGTTGGTCAGATTAGGTTGGTTGTGTGACCACGATACCCTGACAGTGGGATAAAATAACTCAGTAGTTGGGTTGGTCAGATAAGGTTGGTTGTGTGACCACGATACCCTGACAGTGGGATCGTAACTCAGTAGTTGGGTTGGTCAGATTAGGTTGGTTGTGTGACCACGATACCCTGACAGTGGGATCGTAACTCAGTAGTTGGGTTGGTCAGATTAGGTTGGTTGTGTGACCACGATACCCTGACAGTGGGATCGTAACTCAGTAGTTGGGTTGGTCAGATTAGGTTGGTTGTGTGACACGATACCCCTGACAGTGGGATGAAAGTAACTCAGTAGTTCAGTTGGTCAGATTAGGTTGGTTGTGTGACCACGATACCCTGACAGTGGGACTGTAACTCAGTAGTTCAGTTGGTCAGATTAGGTTGGTTGTGTGACACGATACCCTGACAGTGGGATCGTAACTCAGTAGTTCAGTTGGTCAGATTAGGTTGGTTGTGTGACCCGATACCCTGACAGTGGGATCGTAACTCAGTAGTTCAGTTGGTCAGATTAGGTTGGTTGTGTGACACGATACCCTGACAGTGGGATCGTAACTCAGTAGTTGGGTTGGTCAGATTAGGTTGGTTGTGTGACACGATACCCTGACAGTGGGATCGTAACTCAGTAGTTCGGTTGGTCAGATTAGGTTGGTTGTGTGACACGATACCCTGACAGTGGGATTGTAACTCAGTAGTTGGGTTGGTCAGATTAGGTTGGTTGTGTGACACGATACCCTGACAGTGGGATCGTAACTCAGTAGTTCGGTTGGTCAGATTAGGTTGGTTGTGTGACACGATACCCTGACAGTGGGATCGTAACTCAGTAGTTCGGTTGGTCAGATTAGGTTGGTTGTGTGACACGATACCCTGACAGTGGGATCGTAACTCAGTAGTTCGGTTGGTCAGATTAGGTTGGTTGTGTGACACCCGATACCCTGACAGTGGGATCGTGAACTCAGTAGTTCAGTTGGTCAGATTAGGTTGGTTGTGTGACCACGATACCCTGACAGTGGGATCGTAACTCAGTAGTTCGGTTGGTCAGATTAGGTTGGTTGTGTGACACGATACCCTGACAGTGGGATCGTAACTCAGTAGTTGGGTTGGTCAGATTAGGTTGGTTGTGTGACACGATACCCTGACAGTGGGATCGTAACTCAGTAGTTGGGTTGGTCAGATTAGGTTGGTTGTGTGACACGATACCCTGACAGTGGGATCGTAACTCAGTAGTTGGGTTGGTCAGATTAGGTTGGTTGTGTGACCCGATACCCTGACAGTGGGATCGTAACTCAGTAGTTGGGTTGGTCAGATTAGGTTGGTTGTGTGACACGATACCCTGACAGTGGGATCGTAACTCAGTAGTTGGGTTGGTCAGATTAGGTTGGTTGTGTGACATGATACCCTGACAGTGGGATCGTAGCTTCATTGTCACATTGTCAAGTATGATCTCACAGGAGAACTGTACCCATGTAGATCCGGGTTAGAATATTTATCTTCAGTAACCCATGCTTGTCGTAAGAGGCGACTAACGGGATCGGGTGGTCAGGCTCGTTGACGTGGTTGACACATGTCATTGTATCCCAACTGTGCAGATTGATGCTCATGCTCTTGATCACTGGATTGTCTGGTCCAGACTCGATTATTTACAGACCGTCGTCATATAGCTGGAATATTGCTGAGTGTGGTGTTAAAGAACAACCAAACCACAGGAGAACTAAAAGGATGACAATGAATTATGTTTTCGTTTGAACATGTCAGTAAGTTCAAGGCTGTTGAGAAACACCTTCGATGTGTGACATGCTACATGCATGCTGTGGTGTTTCCAGGACAAGTACCTCCACACAAACTGCCTGGCAGCCCTGGCCAACATGTCCTCCCAGTTTGCCAACCTACACCAGTTTGTGGCACAGAAGATTGTCAGGTATGTTATCTAAACATTGAGCATTCTTGGAGTTAATATATTCCCAGCAGTGTAGATGTTTGTTGTGAGACTGAATGCAAGGATGCTCACAGCAGTATCTGGGTCAGAATGCAGGCTAACATGTTGTTGCATTAAACTAAAATTATGCTTTCCATAGTCATATGCATGTAGTGGTTATCTTGTTTGAATACGTAAGTACGACAAGTGAGGACACTCTTTTGATATAATGAGATAAACAGCAGATTGGTGTATCATCAAGTGGAGTATGTGTTGTGTTGTTTGGTGTGTTATGAAGTGATGTGTGTGTTGTGTTGTTGGTTGGTGTGTCATGAAGTGATGTGTGTGTTGACTCGCTGCCTAGTGTGTCATCATGTGATGTGTGTGTTGTCTCACTGCCTAGTGTGTCATCATGTGATGTGTGTTTTGTCTCACTGCCTAGTGTGTCATCATGTCATGTGTGTGTTGTCTCACTGTCTAGTGTGTCATCATGTCATGTGTGTGTTGTGTTGTTGGTTGGTGTGTCATGAAGTGATGTGTGTGTTGTCTTACTGCCTAGTGTGTCATCATGTGATGTGTGTGTTGTCTTACTGCCTAGTGTGTCATCATGTCATGTGTGTGTTGTCTCACTGTCTAGTGTGTCATCATGTCATGTGTGTGTTGTGTTGTTGGTTGGTGTGTCATGATGTGATGTGTGTGTTGTCTCACTGCCTAGTGTGTCATCATGTCATGTGTGTGTTGTCTCACTGCCTAGTGTGTCATCATGTGATGTGTGTTGTCTCACTGCCTAGTGTGACATCATGTGGTGTGTGTGATGTCTCACTGCCTTGTGTGTCATCATGTGATGTGTGTTGTCTCACTGTCTAGTGTGTCATCATGTCATGTGTGTGTTGTCTCACTGCCTTGTGTGACATGTGTGTGATGTCTCACTGCCCAGTGTGACATGTGTGTGATGTCTCACTGCCTAGTGTGTCATCATGTGGTGTGTGTTGTCTCACTGCCTTGTGTGTCATCATGTGATGTGTGTTGTCTCACTGCCTTGTGTGACATGTGTGTGATGTCTCACTGCCTAGTGTGACATGTGTGTGATGTCTCACTGCCTAGTGTGACATGTGTGTGATGTCCCACCCTAGTGTGTCATCATGGTGATGTTGTCTCTCACTCTAGTGTGTCATCATGTGATGTGTGTTGTCTCTCACCGCCTTGTGTGACATGTGTGTGATGTCTCACTGCCTAGTGTGACATGTGTGTGATGTCTCACTGCCTAGTGTGTCATCATGTGATGTGTGTTGTCTCACTGCCTTGTGTGTCATCATGTGATGTGTGATGTCTCACTGCCTTGTGTGTCATCATGTGATGTGTGATGTCCACTGTCTAGTGTGTCATCATGTGAGTGTGTGTGATGTCTCACTGCCTTAGTGTGTCATCATGTGATGTGTGATGTCTGCCCAGTGTGACATCATGTGATGTGTGATGTCTCACCGCCTAGTGTGTCATCATATGATGTGTGATGTCTCACCGTCTTGTGTGCCATCATGTGATGTGTGTTGTCAGTGTGTCATCATGTGATGTGTGATGTCTCACTGCCTAGTGTGTCATCATGTGTGTGTGTGTTGTCTCACTGCCCTGTGTGTCATCATGTGATGTGTGTTGTCTCACTGTCTAGTGTGTCATCATGTGATGTGTGTTGTCTCACTGCCTAGTGTGTCATCATGTGATGTGTGTTGTCTCACTGCCTTGTGTGTCATCATGTGATGTGTGTTGTCTCACTGCCTTGTGTGTCATCATGTGATGTGTGATGTCTCACCGTTCCTGTGTGTCATCATGTGATGTGTGATGTCTCACTGCCTAGTGTGTCATCATGTGATGTGTGATGTCTCACTGCCTAGTGTGTCATCATGTGATGTGTGTTGTCTCACTGCCTAGTGTGTCATCATGTGATGTGTGTTGTCTCACTGCCTAGTGTGTCATCATGTGATGTGTGTTGTCTCACTGCCTAGTGTGTCATCATGTGATGTGTGATGTCTCACTGCCTAGTGTGTCATCATGTGATGTGTGTTGTCTCACTGCCTTGTGTGTCATCATGTGATGTGTGTTGTCTCACTGTCTAGTGTGTCATCATATGATGCATGTTGTCTCACTGCCTAGTGTGACATCATGTGATGTGTCATGTCTCACTGCCTTGTGTGTCATCATGTGATGTGTGTTGTCTCACTGTCTAGTGTGTCATCATGTGATGTGTGTTGTCTCACTGTCTAGTGTGTCATCATGTGATGTGTGTTGTCTCACTGTCTAGTGTGACATCATGTGATGTGTGTTGTCTCACTGCCTAGTGTGTCATCATGTGATGTGTGTTGTCTCACTGTCTAGTGTGACATCATGTGATGTGTGATGTCTCACTGCCTTGTGTGTCATCATGTGATGTGTGTTGTCTCACTGCCTAGTGTGTCATCATGTCATATGTGTTGTCTCACTGCCTAGTGTGTCATCATGTCATATGTGTTGTCTCACTGACTAGTGTGTCATCATGTGATGTGTGTCTCACTGCCTAGTGTGTCATCATGTCATGTGTGTTGTCTCACTGGTTCAGTGTCATCATGTGATGTGTGATGTCTCACTGCCTTGTGTGTCATCATGTCATATGTGTTGTCTCACTGACTAGTGTGTCATCATGTGATGTGTGTCTCACTGCCTAGTGTGTCATCATGTCATGTGTGTTGTCTCACTGTCTAGTGTGTCATCATGTCATGTGTGTGTCTCACTGCCTAGTGTGTCATCATGTCATGTGTGTTGTCTCACTGTCTAGTGTGTCATCATGTCATGTGTGATGTCTCACTGCCTTGTGTGTCATCATGTCATGTGTGTTGTCTCACTGCCTAGTGTGTCATCATGTCATATGTGTTGTCTCACTGCCTAGTGTGTCATCATGTCATATGTGTTGTCTCACTGACTAGTGTGTCATCATGTGATGTGTGTCTCACTGCCTAGTGTGTCATCATGTCATGTGTGTTGTCTCACTGTCTAGTGTGTCATCATGTCATGTGTGTTGTCTCACTGTCTAGTGTGTCATCATGTGATGTGTGTCTCACTGCCTAGTGTGTCATCATGTCATGTGTGTTGTCTCACTGTCTAGTGTGTCATCATGTGATGTGTGTTGTCTCACTGCCTAGTGTGTCATCATGTGATGTGTGATGTCTCACTGCCTAGTGTGTCATCATGTCATATGTGTTGTCTCACTGACTAGTGTGTCATCATGTCATATGTGTTGTCTCACTGATTAGTGTGTCATCATGTCATATGTGTTGTCTCACTGACTAGTGTGACATCATGTGATGTGTGATGTCTCACTGCCTAGTGTGTCATCATGTGATGTGTGTTGTCTCACTGACTAGTGTGTCATCATGTGATGTGTGATGTCTCACTGCCTAGTGTGTCATCATGTGATGTGTGTTGTCTCACTGCCTAGTGTGTCATCATGTGATGTGTGATGTCTCACTGCCTTGTGTGTCATCATGTGATGTGTGATGTCTCACTGCCTAGTGTGTCATCATGTGATGTGTGTTGTCTCACTGTCTAGTGTGTCATCATGTGATGTGTGTTGTCTCACTGCCTTGTGTGTCATCATGTGATGTGTGATGTCTCACTGCCTTGCGTGTGTCATCATGTGATGTGTGTTGTCTCACTGCCCAGTAGTGTGTCATCATGTGATGTGTGATGTCTCACTGCCTTGTGTGTCATCATGTGATGTGTGATGTCTCACTGCCTAGTGTGTCATCATGTGATGTGTGTTGTCTCACTGTCTAGTGTGTCATCATGTGATGTGTGTTGTCTCACTGTCTAGTGTGTCATCATGTGGTGTGTGTTGTCTCACTGTCTAGTGTGTCATCATGTGATGTGTGTTGTCTCACTGTCTAGTGTGTCATCATGTGGTGTGTGTTGTCTCACTGTCTAGTGTGTCATCATGTGGTGTGTGTTGTCTCACTGCCTAGTGTGTCATCATGTGATGTGTGATGTCTCACTGCCTAGTGTGTCATCATGTGGTGTGTGTTGTCTCACTGTCTAGTGTGTCATCATGTGATGTGTGATGTCTCACTGCCTTGTGTGTCATCATGTGATGTGTGATGTCTCACTGCCTAGTGTGTCATCATGTGATGTGTGTTGTCTCACTGTCTAGTGTGTGTCATCATGTGATGTGTGTTGTCTCACTGTCTAGTGTGTCATCATGTGGTGTGTGTTGTCTCACTGTCTAGTGTGTCAATCATGTGATGTGTGTTGTCTCACTGTCTAGTGTGTCATCATCATGTGGTGTGTGTTGTCTCAATGTCTAGTGTGTCATCATGTGGTGTGTGTTGTCCTCACCTGCCTAGTGTGTCATCATGTGATGTGTGTGATGTCTCACTGCCTTGTGTGTCATCATGTGATGTGTGATGTCTCACCGCCTTGTGTGTCATCATGTGATGTGTGATGTCCCACCGCCTAGTGTGTCATCATGTGATGTGTGATGTCCCCACCGCCTTGTGTGTCATCATGTGATGTGTGATGTCCCACCGCCTAGTGTGTCATCATGTGTGATGTGTTGTCTCACTGCCTTGTGTGTCATCATGTGATGTGTGTTGTCTCACTGTCTAGTGTGTCATCATGTGATGTGTGTTGTCTCACCGCCTTGTGTGTCATCATGTGATGTGTGATGTCCTCACCGCCTAGTGTGTCATCATGTGGGATGTGTGATGTCCTCACCGCCTTGTGTGTCATCATGTGATGTGTGATGTCCTCACCTGTCTAGTGTGTCATCATGTGATGTGTTGTCTCACCGCCCTAGTGTGTCATCATGTGATGTGTGTTGTCTCACTGCCTAGTGTGTCATCATGTGATGTGTGTTGTCTCACTGTCTAGTGTGTCATCATGTGATGTGTGTTGTCTCACCGCCCAGTGTGTCATCATGTGATGTGTGATGTCTCACCGCCCAGTGTCATCATGTGATGTGTGTTGTCTCACTGCTCTAG